AAACTTCATCCCAGTGTAGACACTAATAAGTCAACAGAAGAATTCTTCCATCTACCTAGTTACTGCCTCTTGAAAAGGTGAAATTACTACAATGAAAGAAGACCCCTTTCATTGCTGTCATGTCTACACTACGGGGGCTCGTCTACACTGGCCCCTTTTCCAAAAGGGGCATGCTAATTTCACAGGTCGTAATAGGGAAATCCCGCGGGGGATTTAAATATCCCCCGCGGCATTTAAATAAAAATGTCCGCCGCTTTTTTCCGGCTTTTAGAAAAGCCGGAAAAGAACGTCTACACTGGCCCCGATCCTCCGGAAAAAAGCCCTTTTCCGGAGGATCTCTTATTCCTATTTCAAAGGGCTTTTTTCCGGAGGATCGGGGCCAGTGTAGACGCTCTTTTCCAGCTTTTCTAAAAGCCGGAAAAAAGCGGCGGACATTTTTATTTAAATGCCGCGGGGGATATTTAAATCCCCCGCGGATTTCCCTATTACGACCTGTGAAATTAGCATGCCCCTTTCGAAAAAGGGGCCAGTATAGACGTAGCCCAGCAGTTCAGCCGAAGTGCTGTAGCTGGGCTGTTGTAGCATTTCTAGTGCAGACATAGCCCTTACCAGTGAATACGTTTTGATTGTAAAGGATGGAAATATCTAGTCAGTTTGCATGTACTCCATGAAATCGAAGTTTATTGATAACATCAAATCCTTCCAAGGCAGTTACAATAGTTATTGCTAAAAGAAGAGTTCTGGAAGGGATATAAAACCTCATGCTTTGGGCCTTGAGATAATCTGTAAGTATTAAGAATAGGATAAGACCTTCATGAGGCAGGTTATAACTCATGCACCTTTTGCAAGGGTTCCTGCACCTTCCTCTGAAGTGGGCCAGGGTCAGAGACAGGATATAGGACTTGAGGGACGATGATTGTAATTGAAGATGGCTCAAAGGTGAAAGTAAGCGGGTGTACCATGCAGCTCTGGCAAGTGCCAGCTGAGCTGCAGCAAAAGCCAGCAGGGAGCTATTTAAACAGCTGGCTGGAACCCACATTGCAATAGGATAGTACCTGTAAGAAATTTTAAATTACTTTCACCATTGAGCTGGCTACTCCTATGTTCCTATTGAACAACAATAATTATTATTATTATTATCTGTTATTCTTGGATTATTTCCCAAATGCCGGTTGAGTTTTAATGAACTGGAAACAACCCTTGATAAAAGGTGCAATTTTAAGTTGCACGTGGTTATTCTGGTTCTGGTCTTTTCATAGATGTATTCATAGCATATTTAGGGACCTCTATGCATAGTTCTCATTCCAGTTTGCAAAGGCACCTTGCATAAATATCGTAGAAGGGCACTGTGCCTTCTCCGGCTGATGGAATTGTCCAGCTTCCATGGAAAATCAACCCCAGATATTAAGTCAGCCAAGACAACCGCCCATTTTATCCAACCTTCCCTTCCCTGCATTAAAATGACAACTTCATCACTTGCTGTGACATGGTCACAAAGTGAGCAGCTCTAGCAGGAGGCAGAAATCAACTAAAAATGTCGGAGTGTCTCTCCTGGATATTAGTATGTATCTATGGCCTTGCAGAACTGCCTTGCTGCATGAGTCTTCTCCCTGCTTGGTCCCTAGGACAGCTCATATCTTCTCTCTGTATCTTGGCCAAGGAACGTCAGGCTGAGTTACTGAGGCTCAGATCAGCAGAAACTTACATGGCTTTTTGCATTGTAACTTACATTGAGAAAGGACTGGGATGATTGGGTACGGTTATTACTTCCGAGCCTTTTCCACTTTCCTCTCACCACATCCCAGAAGAGGCTTGGCTACAGTCCAAAGCTACTTTCTATTCCCCTTCATGGACTCAACCCTCTTTCCGGTCTCAGAGCCTCCATCACACTTCAGGTTGGGCCCCAAATCACGACCTTACATCCAACCCCATATTTTAAAGTACGTGAACCCTGCCAAACTTTTTTGATTTTTTAATTTGGAGACTATCCTCCTTGGCTCTGGAAACCTATGTTCAACTGGAATGCATGAAGCCCCTTTTGCTTCTTGGTCTCTTTTCATGGTGTTTCAGATTTACAAAGATCTTTACACTTCTCTCTTAGGTACACTGGGCTCTACATCAAGGAATTTTCCTTCTTTTCTGGGTCTTCTGCCTATAGATTTCTCCTCCCGTAGGGAGCTGTAGATCTGTGAGAGCTTCTCCTTTCCCCAGTCCCCGGAACAAGTTTCAGCGATTGCCTTGTGACTTCAGGCTAGATCTCTGGGTTACATTCACCACTGAAAGGGGCTCTGAAGTGCCAAAGATCATTTCAGACCCTGCCCTTCATTGCTAACAGGCTTCCAAGTTATTGTCCATTAGCATACTGAGTAAAGAAGTGTAACCCAGGGCACTGAGAGAGAGACTAAAGTCTGCTCTATAGGCTTAGCTAAAGAGCTGCTGGCTTTTAGCTCAGGCAGTAGAGCAGTGGGGGGCAACCTGGTGTCTGCAGGGTTCTATGTGTGGCATTCTAAGTGGGTGTGTCTACACTGCACCCCTAGCTCAAAATAAATTACCCAATTTGAGCTATGCAAATTGCGTCGCTTATTTTGAGTGTATTTCAAAATAGCTTATTTTGTAATTAAATTTCTAAATAAACTGCTATTCTGAAATGTCCCCTAATCCTCATGGAATGAGATTCACATCCCAGGAGAAGGGTTGATAGGTAAGCATCAGAGGAAACAAACCAAAGAGAGAACAACTCATGTAGCAGCTACCTGGAACTTATAAAATCTGCTAAACTTGGTCAAAATGCCCCGACAAAAATGTCATTAAACTACAATTAAGGTAACAGAGACCAATTTTAAAAACAGCGTTGAGATACACTCAAGGTTGTAAACATGCACATAAGTCGCAGTCAAACTATCTGGTTAGAACACTGTAGTTTTTCAAATAATAAATGTTTGGAAATTTCTCAGTAATATTCAGGTGACTAAAATAAATATTTGAATGCCAGGAATTTCATAGTTCTGTTTCAACAAACATTCTGACCACATCATACTTCCCATTGGTCTCTGGCCTTCTGTTTTTGTGATGTTCTGAATCATGTCAAGGGCTGTGTCTAGATTACACCTCTCTGCCAACCGAGAGATATAGATTAGGCACATCAAAATTGCTAATGAAGCGGGGATTTAAATATCCCGCGCTTCATTAGCATAAAAATGGCTGCCGCTTTTTTCCGACACAGAGCTTTGTCGGAGAAAAGCGGCAGTCTAGAGGTTATCCCTTATCCCTCATGAAATGAGGTTTATAGGATCTTTCGGAAAAGGCCTTATTTTTCGAAAGATCAACCTCTAGACTGCCGCTTTTCTCCGACAAAGCTCTGTGTCGGAAAAAAGCGGCAGCCATTTTTATGCTAATGAAGCGCGGGATATTTAAATCCCCACTTCATTAGCAATTTCGATGTGCCTAATCTACATTTCTCTGTCGGCAGAAAGGTGTCGTCTAGACACACCCAAGGTGTTGCAAAAACAAGGGCACCTGGCATTGGCCACTGTCGGCAGACAGGATACTGGGCTGGATGGACCTTTGGTCTGACCCAGTATGGCCGTTCTTAAGAGCTGTTTCCTTCACTGTACGTTTGGTAGGGAGAGGAGCCAGTGAAATGGTTGCATTTATAAAATGTTATTTCTGGACTGGAGGGGAAGGAATAAGACACAAGATCCTAGAGTTTCTTAATGTCAAGATATGATTGAGGAGGGCTGCACAAGAGTCTGTATCTACTGTGTGGGTCTCTTGGGACGTACAACAGGAAGTTGGGATACATGGATCTGGGTCATTGGCTGCTAGTTCCAATACCAACCAAAGTTAAATTAATACAGCTACAGCACTGAGATGATTCTCTCTATTTCTTTGCAGTGTCATCTGGTCAATGCTGGGAAATATTGATGGGAGCATAAGGTCGCTTTCTATGAGGATTATAGGGTTAGGGTTATCACCAAGGAGGTGATATTTATTGAGATGGCATAAGATGTACTATATGTTTATGCACCTGCAGTTCATTTTCTACTTAATGAACTACATTGTTATAGAAATGTGGATAGTAGATCCAGTCTGAACATTTCCATCAAAATAGGGGGTTTTTTCCAATGGAAAATTCTGTTTTTGTCAAAAAGTTTTGAAAATGGGGATTTTAATGAATTTTTTTTGGAGGGTGGAGGGAAAGACTGAAGGCTGAGGGAGGGGATGACATAATAACTGTTTTCAAGTACGTAAAAGGGTATTACAAGGAGAAGAGAGAACAATTGTTCTCCTTGACCTCTGAGAACAGGACAAGATTCAATAGGCTTAAATTGCAGCAAGGAAGGTTTAGGTTGGACATTAGGAAAAACTTCCTAATTCTCAGGTGGTTAACCAATTGAATAAATTGCCTAGGGATGTTGGACAAACATGTCAGGGAAGGTCTAGATAAAACAACAGTCCTGCCGTCCTGCCATGAGTGCAGGGACTCTGGACTAGATGACCATTTGAAGTTCCTTTCGGGCCTATAATTCTATGATTTTGCTTTAAAAAAAAAGATTTTTTTAGTTTTGTTTTCCAGGGAATTTAGAAGTGATTGGTTTAGTTCCACTGTACAACAGAAAATCCAGTTCCTGCGTAGCTCTATTAAATACACTGAAAACTCATGGAGCATGTCTTGGCACAGGAGAGCTACATATCTGAAATAAGTGGTGTGCTAGATTTCTTCTCTGAAGAGCAATTGCTTTTCACATCACTTTATTGGTCACAGTCCTGGAAAGTAATAATAGAACAGGGCACATATCTCAGGAGGCTATGCCACACAATGCTTTTTATCAGGAAAAGCGTCTCATGCAATGTAAGTAACGACTTGGTGAGGTCCTTGCAACTACATTTAGTTTTGAGGGCTTTGAATGGAAAATGGAGGTTTGAATGGTTTCATTCAATCAGACTTTTCATCCTGACCTCTCAGGGGGAAGTTGTAAATGTTCTCTTTTTCTTTTTAGCATCTATAGTGATTGGAAAATGGTGGTGTGAAATGGAGCCCTGCCTAGAGGGAGAAGAATGCAAGACGTTACCTGATAATTCGGGATGGATGTGTGCAACTGGCAATAAAATCAAGACCACCAGAGTAAGTCATGGCTCCATTCGTACCCCGAGTCCTGGCCATTGTCCCGCCATACCCTTTTCCCAAAACCGGGGCTTGCTTTTTATAGAAGACTGGCTGGCTGCTTTGTCAGTAGCCAGCGCTTTTACCCTCCACCTACACCAGGCAAAAGTTTGCAAATTCAGAGACCTCAGCTGAACCCAGGTTTTCTAACTGGTGTTAGAAATTCCACTCTGCTGAGTTGCTGTGTACCTTTCTACCAGTCATTGCCTCCAAAGAATAAAATAGTCTATCAACAGGCTCGTTTTTGGTGGTTAATACAATAATTAATTCACTCCTCTTGGTTTAGAGTTATGAGATCCATGAGTTTATTATAGGTATGAAATTTTGCTGGCTAGTACTCCTACTGCTGGCTTATTTCTGAGTGCCTGGCTTATTTCATCTATGGTAGACTTAGCTAAAGTGAAAGCTCGTATTCGGCACCCAGTGAGCAATGTAGAAAGGGGCAAACATAAATGGGAAAAAGACATGGTGGTGATGGGCAGCAGTGGATTTCCCACCTCATGATAATCAGCTCCCAGTCCCTCCATGGGGAAATGAACCGTTGTTGGATGAGGACCAGGAGAACCTGTACTGTGAATATCACATTCCCCTGCCTCACACGTTAACTAATCCCCATTGTTTTACATGCTGCGGCATCACCGTTCTCAGTCCAGCAGCACCAGTGAAAGTCAACTTTTCTCTGGTTGTGCAGGAGATGTCAGGAGGCTTGTGAATGAAGAGACCATCTATTCACACATATCACATTTTTTTTTTGCCCTACAAGTTCTTTTTCATTGGAAAAAAGACTTCCCCCCCCCCCCCCCCCCCCCCCAAAAAAGAGGAAACATTTGCAAAAATGGTTTTGACTCCACCTACATTTTCGGGCACCTTAAAGAAAGATTTAGAAAGTGTTTCCCCTCTCCCAGAGATGTGCAGAAGGAACTATGATTCACTGAGTCCCAATTCCTTGCTGGTTCTCTTCTTGAAGTAGCACAGTGATGTACTACCGCATGCTTATCACTTGGCTGTTCTAAATTGAATTAGCGCATAGAGATTAGGCCTTGTGGTATTTTTTTTTAAGTACAGGTCCTTTCCAGTATAGTAATTCTTTCTCCCAGTGATTTCAAGAAGGGCAAATATTTAACAAGTAATGTGAGGAGAAATTTAAAAATTGTATTTAAATGATCATCATTGTTCTTCTGCTAGATTTTTAATGTAGCAATACAGGGTAATCTTGCATTCTGTCTTGCAAATGTATAATTTAGGAACCTGATTAGTTTTGATATAAATGTGTAATATCTTAAGCTCTGCCATCCAAAAGCATCCTAAGAATCAAGCTGTAGGTCATAGTCAGTGTCTAGTAATAATAGATTAACAGTGAAACTCATTAATATTCAGATGTGTGCTCCAATCTAATCAGTATGGATTATTGTATTTCATTTAAATTAAAAACCTACAGGTATTCAGAAATGAAAAAATATCTCTGCCATTTACCCACGGGAGTTATTTTAATTAGCTTGTGTAGAAGAAGTTTCTAGCAGCATTTTGTTTTGTTACCTTGAAACTTTGTTACAGAACAGAACTGAGGAAGGCACAGTGGTGTGATAGGCTTAATAACTGTCTCTTAAATCTTGGAGGCAGAAATCCTGCATATACCTTAAAATTAGCTAAACTTTGCTTGAAGTCACCCACTTGATCCTTAAATGGGAAAAAATGCAATCGACTTCTGAAATAGGAATTTCATTTTTGTTTCTGAAAAAGCCTATCATCATCTTACATAGCATAGGAGAAAGGTGTGCTATGGTAATATACTGGCCCAGATAGGATGAGTTAGGGCTGTGTGTCTCTGTTTGCATATATTTCAATGGAAGGAGTCTGAAAGAAGCAACACCAGTCGACCAATATTTAGATATAAAGAAACAGAGAGGTAACCGTGTTGGTCTGATCTTGGTAAAACAAAAAAAGCAGTCATGTATCATTTTGAATTCTGACAAGATAGCTTATTAGGTGATGAGCTTTCGTGGGGCAGACCCACTTCTTCAGATCATATTCTGAAAGTGTATTGGCATGACCATTATATGACAGATGGATACAATGAAAAAAGTAAACAAATTACAAACTAACGAATCAGCTACATAGAACAGTAGGTGGGGGTAAGGGATCAAGGAAGGAGGAAATTGCTTATTGTAAGAGTCAATTAAGTGGCTAATCTGTAGTTACTACGAATATCAAAAGGTGGGGAGGCTGTCTTTGTAATGTGTAAGGTAATTATCATGTATATTAAGGCCCATTTGCAATGTGTCGAATTTTTGCATAAATAAAAGTTCTGAAGTCTCCCTCTATAATCTAGTGGATTACAGATATATATATGTAGATAAGATCAGTCTTCAGTTCCCCTTCTTGGGGTCATGTAGTAATTTTTGTCATCAGAAGGGGGTCATGATGCAATGAAGTCTGAGACCCACTGGTCTATGGTAATAATAATAGTGCCCCCAAAGCACTTTACAAGACAGACATATTTCCTACCCTCGTTTTACCGATGTGGGGAACTACAGTGCACGGAACTGGAGTGATTTCCCTAGAGACACACAGCAGTTCAGTGACTGAGTGGTATCTCCTGATTCCCTATCATCTGCTCTCATGAGTAAACGAAGCTGTTTCTCGCCATTCGCAGTCAGTGCACAGTATATTATGCCCTCAGGGATGTATAGGTCATTTTTATGTTGTCTCCTGAGTAGTGTAGCTGAAAGAATGACTCACCCTTCCTATAAGTTTGCTACTTGCCCACTTAGGGTACATCTACACTGTGGCACTATTTTGGGATGCTTCCGGTATCCCGAAATAGCTATTCCACGTCTTTGAAACAAGCCCATTGTTTTGAAATATAACAGGCTCACTATTCCAACATTCCTGTAAAGCTTGTTCCACAAGGGATTAAGGGACATTGTGGATTAGAGCTCTATTTCAAAATTTGGCACTCTGTAGACATGATATGATAGCAGTGCAGTTTTCAGGTATCTAAAAGAGTGTCATAAGGAGGAGGGAGAACACTTTTTCATCTTGGCCTTTGAGGATAGAACAAGAAGCAATAGGCTTAAATTGCAGCAAGGGAGGTTTAGGTTGGACATTAGGAAAAAGTTCCTAACTGTCAGGGTAGTCAAACACTGGGATAAATTGCTCAGGGAGCTTGTGGAATCTCCATCTCTGGAGATATTTAAGAGTAGGTTAGATAAATGTCTATCAGGGTTGGTCTAGACAGTATTTGGTCCTGCCATAGAATCATAGAATCATAGGACTGGAAGGGACCTCGAGAGGTCATCGAGTCCAGCCCCCCCGCCCTCAAGGCAGGACCAAGCTCCGTCTACACCATCCCTGACAGATGTCTATCTAACCTGTTCTTAAATCTCTCCAGAGAGGGAGATTCAGCCACCTCCCCTGTCAATTTATTCCAATATTTGACAACCCTGACAGTTAGGAATTTTTTCCTAATGTCCAATCTAAACCTCCCCTGCTGCACTTTAAGCCCATTACTCCTTGTCCTGTCCTCAGAAACCAAGAGGAACAAATTTTCTCCTTCCTCCTTGTGACACCCTTTTAGATATTTGAAAACCGCTATCATGTCCCCCCTTAATCTTCTTTTTTCCAAACTAAACAAGCCCAGTTCATGAAGCCTGGCTTCATAGGTCATGTTCTCTAAACCTTTAATCATCCTTGTCGCTCTTCTCTGTCCCCTTCTTAATCTTCTTTTTTCCAAACTAAACAAGCCCAGTTCATGAAGCCTGGCTTCACAGGTCATGTTCTCTAAACCTTTAATCATTCTTGTCGCTCTTCTCTGTACCCTTTCTAATTTCTCCACATCTTTCTTGAAATGTGGCGCCCAGAAATGAGGGCAGGGGACTGGACTCGATGACTTCTTGAGGTCCCTTCCAGTCCTAGTGTTCTATGATTCTATAGACTGCACCAAATTATGAAATAAGATATTTTGAAATCAGCTCTCATTAAGCTACACAATTTGTGTAGCTCATATTGCATAGCTTATTTTAAGCTAAGGATGCAGTATAGATGCATCCTAATACAGCAACAGCTGATGTTATGGTCCCTTCAAACCTGAATCCCAGAGCATTTTCAGCTCTGTGCCTGACTGTGCGTCTACACTGCACCCTTAGCTCGAAATCAGCTATGCAATTTGAGCAAAGCAAATTGCGTAGCTTATTTCGAGTTGATTTTGAAATAGCTATTTTTGTAAGTTGGCGCTGTCTACACAGCACCAAATCTGAAAATAAACCGCTATTCCAAAACATCCCTTGCTTCTCGTGGAACAAGGTTTACAGGGACGTCGGAATAGTGAGCTCGTTATATTTCAAAATAATGGGCTTGCTTAAAAGATGCAGAATAGCTAATTCAGGATGCAAGAATTATCCCGAAATAGCACCACTGCCTAAACCTACCCTGACTGAGGGTATGTCTACACTACCCTCCTAATTCGAAATAGGAGGGTAATGTAGTCATACCGCAATTGCAAATGAAGCCCGGGATTTGAATTTCCCGGGCTTCATTTGCATAAAGCCGGCCGGCGCCATTTTTAAATGCCGGCAGTTCGAACCCCGTGCCGCGCGGCTACACGCGGCACGGAGTAGCTAGTTCGGATTAGGCTTCCTAATCCGAACTAGCTGTACTCCTCATTCCACGAGGAGTACAGCTAGTTCGGATTAGGAAGCCTAATCCGAACTAGCTACTCCGTGCCGCGTGTAGCCGCGCGGCACGGGGTTCGAACTGCCGGCATTTAAAAATGGCGCCGGCCGGCTTTATGCAAATGAAGCCCGGGAAATTCAAATCCCGGGCTTCATTTGCAATTGCGGTATGACTACATTACCCTCCTATTTCGAATTAGGAGGGTAGTGTAGACATACCCTGAGCTAACGGCTGCAGTAGGACATCAAAGAGCGTGGGATTTATTCTTGTTAGGACCTAGATATTCAGGCCTGCCTGTAAAAGCCAACACTTTAAGAATTTAGCTATGATCCCACCATTTTACTACTTACAGAGGTATGAGAACAAGGATCAATATCAGAGTCTATCTTTCTGAAGCCTTGTTCTTAAACTAGGAAGATACATTCCAAACCAGTCACTTTGAAACTTAAGTGAGTGGGGAAAAAGCAAGGGGATAACCAAAGGAAAGGAAACTGGTTTTATGCCTGCTGGAATCTAACCTCAATACACATCGATTTGTTTGCATCTCTGGACTTCGGTACTGCTGTTCTCTGCTCCCGTGAGAAGGCGCAGGGAAATGAGAAGTGAAGGGATAAGCCCTTTAACAGTTCCGGCAGTGTGGGAGAAAACCCAGCAGAGAAGATCACTTGTTAAAGGCAAAGCAGGACAGCAGAAAATGGGAACTGGAAAAAAGTTTTAGGGTTTTCTTTTTACAGGCTTATCAGGTTAATATGATGACCTATATTTCAGATTAAATTTCTGTTTAGAGCATTAACTAAAGCCCTTTGTATTGCAACTGTCATTCTAATTAAGAGGTCTCCTCAAAGTAGTGAAAAGAACACAAGACAGTAAATACCTTTTGCTAAGGCAATTACTGCTGCTTCCCATCATACTGTCTACTGCTCTCTAATAACTGTTCTCCTAATTTAAGGACTGAGCCAACTGAAGTCAATGTGAGTATTGATACTGCCTTAAATGAATAGCATAAGACCTTCTCTAGTCAATAAATGTGTATTGATGTAACCAAGAAGACATCTTCTCAAGAAGGTTAAAAATTCAGCTTTAAGAGTCATAGAAACCTGAACAATGGCCAATTTCCCTTATAAGGGAATTTAAAGTGTTCAGGTAGAGCAAGTCTGTGTAATCAAATGTATGCAACCCCATAGCTCGCTCTCTCTATGCAAATCTATGGGGTTCCACAAGGTAGTCATTTGAGAGAGGTAGAAGATGTTCTTGTCCATGCCTATACAAGGTGGCCATCCTGTCTCCTGAACACCCCCAAACCAGGCTGGCACACAGAGCAAAATGCTGATCTCACGATGTGAACGCCTACACTGCCCCCAGCACACTGTCAATCCAGCTTTTGTGTTCATTTTCATACCGTGCGGTATGTAATTGATTGTGTTGCACTTCATTGCAGATTCATCCAAGAACCTAATGGAATCTCCCAGGTGGATGTGATGAGAGAACCACTACTTTACAGAGGACAACCTATGAAACGTTTGAACCATCTCAAGCATTTACAAGCCAAATGGATTTCTTATTTGCACTTGGACTATTTACCAGATAATAACAGTGGCTTTACTCTGTGAAATAAAATATTCTATGGAAATAATGTCCCAGATTTTTGACAACAGAAAAGAATAATGAAGAAAAATGGTTCTTTGGTAAACTTTTCGTGATTATGAAGTATGAACAACAATCTTATAAATTTGGATCTACAATTTACTTTATACCATTTAAAAGTATATATATATATATATATATATAAATATATATGATATTTTGAAATAAAGCCTCACCCTTCGAGAAATTAAATAGAACCACACTTTGCTGCAGCTGAGGAAATACGTTTTTTTATGATCTGGAAGACACCTACCAGTTTCAGAGCAGTCAACAGGGGGAGCAAATCCGCTGCAGCACAAGGACATCTACAGCTAAAAGAATCATGAAGATGCCAAGTCACAAGCCTCCTTTTTCTTTCAATGAAATAAAGCCTCACCCTTCGAGAAATTAAATAGAACCACACTTTGCTGCAGCTGAGGAAATACGTTTTTTTATGATCTGGAAGACACCTACCAGTTTCAGAGCAGTCAACAGGGGGAGCAAATCCGCTGCAGCACAAGGACATCTACAGCTAAAAGAATCATGAAGATGCCAAGTCACAAGCCTCCTTTTTCTTTCAACAGAGCATTGGAGAGAATTACATTATTCCATTTTCTTGTGTTCTGGAGGCTTTTTCCCTCTTGTGCAATACTAGCATGCTGGCTTTACTTGCATAACTCTACTTTATACTTCATTGATATGTAACAATGATGAGTCTATCCTCTTCCAGGAAAATATTTTTAGAGCTATTAGATATTCTATGAAGAAGAGAAGGACAACTCTCGAAAAAAATGCAGTATGTATTCATAGTTTATTTGGCAGAGTTTGGTAGACTCTGGGCTGCCTTCTTATTAAAGGTGTACATACAAACAATGTCTTCAGACTTTGTATAGGTGGCATAGACTCCAGTAAAAATGTGATTGCTAACTCCAAAGTTTTGCATTGTTTACTCGATAATACAAAAACTGATTTTGTTTCTTAACATTTGATTAAGATGCATTGGGATTTGCACAAGGTTTGATTCTTCCAAGCATGTCTGGGTTGCTACAGTCTAAATCCTTCCTATAGACAAACTTGCACTGTTTAATTCATCCGGTTTACTTAAATTGATGAAACCCCCCCAATGTGGACACTCTCATTTCCATTTCTGTGGCTTATTTAGCTTAAACCAGGGGTGTCCAAACTTTTTTCAAAGAGGGCCAGATTTGATGAAGTGAACATGCGTGAGGGCCGACCATTTTGCCTGACATTCTTTGAACCATTAAAATTAAATGCAAATTAACTATTTTATGCAAAGTTTATTGCAAACGGCATACTTTTCATTTCGTCACATGGATGACAAATCTAAACAGGTGTTAAATCACTCTGCCTTTCATATCTGAAGGCCAGATGAAAAAAAAAATCCAGGAAGCTGAAATATATGTCAGGAACATTGTAAAGTACATTACATATTATTGGTAATAAAGGTTGTCTGTCAACTTTTAAGTTCAAAAAATATGAACAGGAACATAACACCAAGTATACATGTTGTGTCCAAATATATTTATAACTGATTTAGACCAACTGACTTTAACTGAGATTTTACAATGTATTCATCTCAATACATATGGATTCGTTGGGGGCCATAAAAGATAGATATTGCCAAATTACCCGGGGGGCCGTATTAAACCGGAACACGGGCTGCAATTGGTCCGCGGGCCGGACTTTGGACATGCCTGGCTTAAACCTAATTGACTTAAGCTGAACTGATATAGGACACTCTTAAAACAAAGTCTCAGAGGGGTAGCTGTGTTAGTCTGTAGCTTTAAAAACAATGAGTAGTCCTGTAGCAACTTAAGAGACTAACAAAAAAAAATGTATGTGTATATATATATATATATATATATATATAGTGTCATGAGATTTTGTGGGCAAAATCCACTTCCTGAGGAAGTGGGTTTTGCCCATGAAAGCTCTTAGAACAAAGTAAGAGTTACCATGCAGGGGTCTGTGCCTGTTTAACTAAATCAGTTAAAATTAACACCTTTATTTAAAGCAATGCAGCTGTCTGTGAAGGCAGGCTTTTAGAAGGGTTAAGCCAGAGGTAGACCCGTGTCATGAGATTTTGTGGGCAAAATCCACTTCCTGAGGAAGTGGGTTTTGCCCATGAAAGCTCTTAGAACAAAGTAAGAGTTACCATGCAGGGGTCTGTGCCTGTTTAACTAAATCAGTTAAAATTAACACCTTTATTTAAAGCAATGCAGCTGTCTGTGAAGGCAGGCTTTTAGAAGGGTTAAGCCAGAGGTAGACCCTCAGGGCTGGAATGTGCAAACCTAATTTATGTTTTTGAATATTTATTCACATGACTAGTCCCATTGACTTTAGGGGGAGTACTCATGTGAAAAAGTGCTTGCCAACATGCATGAAGACTACACCGTCTAGCCTTTGGTATTTGTCAATTGAAGAGGTGTATGCAAGTACAGAAGATACTTGATCCAGTCCCGCTTTTTCTTCTTTCATGTTTGCAATTTCCTTTCATTCCTAGTTACCTGTGTCTCTCATGACCACCTTCACCCAGACAAATCAGTTTTAATCCAGTGCAGAGTAACAGCTGAGCTTGCTGGCCTAAAGTCAGTGAAAATTATCCCACCAGTTTTCTTCTTCCTCTAGGGCAACCATGTCCGCATCTGATATTTCAGGAGGTGGAAATTTGTCCACTGTAATTACAGTGTATGTTAAAGCAGCAGTGCCAAGTGTCACACCATATTCCACATGGACTTTATATGCTGGTAACTGGAGTGTTAATGCTCAAAATAAAAATGGATGTATTGCCTTGTAAGTAGTTTACCCTCCTTCCCTTTTGAATAGATATTTGGTCAGCTTCCGAATATCTTTTTTCTCTGGTGTGTTTTGAGATCAGAATCAGGCCATAAAAGTTAATGCTGGTTTCTTTCAGCATTCTTGCTCCCCTCCCCTCATTACCCATTTTACTTCTAACCTGACAAATACCATTCTCCATTACTCTTGCCAATAGCTCTTGGTGCTGAGTCCTGAGATCCTAGCTCAAACGCCTACCGAAATCAAAGAGAATTTGTCAGCATAAGGACTGAAGGCTTATCTACACAAGGGACAAATTAACTCACAAGTCTGAATTAAAAGCGGGTATTTTAAACCCCTGTGTGGACACTCTCATTCAGAATTAATGTGGCCTCAATCTGGTCTAATTAATTTCACTTTGAAAGGGCAGGTCTACACAACAGGGCTAAAGCCAAAATCAGCTGCACAATTTGAGCTACCAGTTTGAGCTACGGCAATTGTGTAGCTTAAGTCGAAATAGCTTATATCCGCTTTTGGCGCTGTCCACACAGCAGGAAGTCCGAGAAAGACCACTCTTCCTCCCACTTCCCTTACTCCTCATAAAATGAGAGTTACAGGAGTCGGAGTAAGAAGTTCTACAGCTCGACATTATTTTGACATTATGTCAAAATAACGGCTTGTAGTGTAGACGCAGACTATAATAACACTGTTGTGTAGACATATCCAAACTGAATTAAAGTAAACTGGATTAAGGTCACTTTAATTCTGAATGAGAGTAGGTACACAGAGACTTAATGCAGTTCAGTTAGTTCACTTTGAATTCATACTTTTCAGTAGTTTGGGCTAACTTTCCTGAGTGTCCCCATGTAGACAAGCCCTCAGTAAACACCAAGCAAAGACATCTGGATTTGCCCCTTAGAAAGACAATTACTCTCCCCCCAGCACTGGGGAGCCCATTCTGGTGCTCTAGCCCAACCACTGTCCCCCTCTTCCCCTCCCCCCACCGTGGGGCTGGAGCACACAAAATCTACTGGCCTGTCCCCCCCCCTCCCAGCTCTGGTGTGCGAGGGGAATGTGGAGAGTGTCTTTCTCCTTCTCAGTCAGGGCCATGTCAGTGAGGATTTGGGGGTTTGTTTGTTTCCTTTGTTTTGTTTTGTTTTTTGCTTTTCACTTGTGTGCAGCCCCCTGGCTGATTTTTCTGTGGCTCAGTGGCCCCCGACCCAAAAAAGATTCCCCGCTCCTGCTCTAGATTATGGCACGAGCATCTTGTACCAGATGTGCTCCCACTAGCCAACAAGCCAGTTTCCGTGTGGCAGAGCCCAGTGGTCAGGGAGCCTGGGAAGGTCCAGGAATCTTCTGGCCCTCTGCCTGTCTGGGCTGCAGAGGGATAGACCAGCCAGGGAAACGAAGTTGCATAGTGCAGTGGCTCTATGGATGATCTGGGCCATGGATGGGAAGTTCTTCCCTGCTCTCCTCCACCATTCTCTTTGCACCTCGCAGTCACCAGAACAGCTTGGTTAGTGGGTCTCTGGGGGTAGTCCTCAGGAAACAACTGGTCAGATGAATGGACCTGATTCTGGTCTCAGTTAAATGAAGAGCAACGCTAGTGAAGTAAATCATCCTTGTTATCTATTTGTATTATGGTAGCATCTGAGAGCCCCCAGCTGAGATCTTCATGCTAGGCCCGGTACACCCACAGGAAAGGATACAGTCTCTGCTTCTAGAGAGCTTCCAATCCAAGTGTTCCATGTCCCTGGAATACACACACGCAGACCTTTCTCCCAATAATGGAGGAGATGTGGCTCAGCTATGCAGGGAAGTCTCTAGTGTCCCCATGTAGACAAGCCCTCAGTAAACACCAAGCAAAGACATCTGGATTTGCCCCTTAGAAAGACAATTACTCTCCCCCCAGCACTGGGGAGCCCATTCTGGTGCTCTAGCCCAACCACTGTCCCCCTCTTCCCCTCCCCCCACCGTGGGGCTGGAGCACACAAAATCTACTGGCCTGTCCCCCCCCCTCCCAGCTCTGGTGTGCGAGGGGAATGTGGAGAGTGTCTTTCTCCTTCTCAGTCAGGGCCATGTCAGTGAGGATTTGGGGGTTTGTTTGTTTCCTTTGTTTTGTTTTGTTTTTTGCTTTTCACTTGTGTGCAGCCCCCTGGCTGATTTTTCTGTGGCTCAGTGGCCCCCGACCCAAAAAAGATTCCCCGCTCCTGCTCTAGATTATGGCACGAGCATCTTGTACCAGATGTGCTCCCACTAGCCAACAAGCCAGTTTCCGTGTGGCAGAGCCCAGTGGTCAGGGAGCCTGGGAAGGTCCAGGAATCTTCTGGCCCTCTGCCTGTCTGGGCTGCAGAGGGATAGACCAGCCAGGGAAACGAAGTTGCATAGTGCAGTGGCTCTATGGATGATCTGGGCCATGGATGGGAAGTTCTTCCCTGCTCTCCTCCACCATTCTCTTTGCACCTCGCAGTCACCAGAACAGCTTGGTTAGTGGGTCTCTGGGGGTAGTCCTCAGGAAACAACTGGTCAGATGAATGGACCTGATTCTGGTCTCAGTTAAATGAAGAGC